ATGATGAGTGAGGCGATAGCATTGATTGATAGGCTCCAACAAACGAACAAGACAAGTCCAGTCGGACTAGTTTGAGTAGCCCGAGTCATTCCAGTTGAGGCTGCCTTCATCACTTGACAGTTCATCTTCCGCGGGCCTCTCTGACTACAGCAACGTCAGTGGCTTTACAGCCCCCATCATGGTCGATTTGCAGAGAGTTTTCGCTTGTCTTGCAGTTGAATCCGGCACCACTCCAGATCGGAAGTACCTGGCCAAGATTGCAAGTGGGAAGAACCAGTTCTCCTCCAAAATCACTTTGGCTATGTCATCACAAGGGTCATGGAGGCAGGTCACGAGTTGATTGTGAAAGGCGAAGGGATAGGCTGAGGTGTATGAGAGGCTACAACATTGTTTTGCCAAACTGGACAAGTTTCCAGGTTCAGTCATCAATATATGGCCGTCCCTTCATTGATATTAAGATGTTGAATTCAGAACTACAGTAGATTGAACTGATTGAACTAGTTGAACTTCGAACTAGTATTCAAGACTCACTCAGTTTGAACAAGCAGGCAGGTAGTTGTGCAATACTTGCTCAGATGTTCAATGTTGAGACTTGCTCAGCTTAGACTTTGGAGTGTACCATACATTGGTTCATTCAACCACTCAATGAATTAAGATTTGCTTTGTCAGAGTTACAGTATCGTTCATCCAGGAAGCCCTGTCAGTCATGAGTCCATGTACTGCCGAGTCATGAGTCATCTCATAAATGCATGACAAGTCATGACTTTGCAGAATTTGACCAGACTTTATTGTACTGTACAGACTGTACTGCTTTACTTATGACTTATGATTTGATGACTCATGACTCATGACTCTGACTGAAAAACAACGGAGTTCCACGATCAGAGTTTCCTGCCGCGTTTTAGTCACGCAACCACTCATTCGGCGACCCAGGCAATTGTGGAATCAGGTGCTTTCCAACTACCGCGAAGTGGCAGCAACGGCTTTGACAGTGAAGGCCGGGACAAATGCTTTGGACATGGTCAGGAAGGTACTCAGCTGGGATCCTGCTAGCCTGCAGTCAGCATCCGTGGATGACTTGAGGGCGCACCACACCCATGTCATGAGTCTGTCAACCATGAAGGAGACAATCCGGCAGCTTGGTTGTGGCAAGGATGTGCCAGGAGCACAGGAAGGGCATGACAGCCTGGAAAGTGGCCGCTTGCAGTTGCTGGAGTTTGCCACCAAGCTATGCCCGAACTTTGACGAGATGGTGGCAGAGCTCCGTTCATGGGCCGACTCGCAAGCTCCAATTGACTTGGCCACGGCTGATGTCGCAACTACAGCAAACGCATGCCCCCGTGAGGCCTTGCAGCTGCCAGAGAGATTCGACCGTGGCAAAGCTGGTGGCTTCTTGTTTCGCTGCCACTTGACTGTCCAAAGTCCCATCCAGTGTGTGATCCGGTCTGGCCACACTTGTCCCAACCAACCACCCCTTCAGGGTTCGTGCTATTCCCACTGAACGTATAGCAGCCGGTCACTGATTCCCACATTGAAATTTTGCTGTACATTCGCACAGCGCACACATCACACACCACTCATTTGGTCACTTGTTTACTCCAAAATATTGTTGGTTGTCGTCGTCGTCATAGTTAATAGTTAGCTATTGATTGGTTACTTGTTCATGATTCAGATTCAAATCATTTCCGTGTTGATTGCTTTAGGCTTTCTGATCCCTGATTCAAGTTGTCAAGGTTTGGCTAAGAAGCTCAGGCTGAGGTTCAAACACTTTCCTTCAGAAGTAGACCATTGTCCAACCTCCCACTGTTCTTTCAGGCCACCTTTCAGAACAATGGACAAATTGTGTGACATTATGTGATGATATGTTATATATTTATAGTTTAGTTATGTGTTATGTGATGTGACATGTGACATGTGTTCCAATTTTGTTGACTTCACATTACATTACAGTTACATTATCAATCAAAACATTTCCCCAGCGCTAGAAAATTAATTTAGGTCCCCTACTCAGTCCAGAATTAAATTTCTGGAATTAATTTGATATAACTTTACATTCGCTGCTGGAGGGGGGGCATTTCAGGAGGTCAAAAATTAATTAACATGAGAGGATGTAAATCTGTGAGATCAGAATGCATGAGATGTGCTAGAAAACAGGGTCAATAAAACAACTAGTCATTTAGACCTGACACACCTGTCAATTATATAATTTTCTGCATTTGCGTGCTCAAATAGAAATGAGGAAGACGTTCAAAGATTATGAGGTAAAGAGAGAATGCATGATTGGGGGGTGGGTCAGTTGTCAACAGGTCCTTGATTTGTGGCTGCTCTTTGTTTGTGCGTTTTTTCTGGCAGAGATTTACAAGGCACAAAAATTAATCCAAGGTACCTCAATTAATTAACCGGTTCGCCCCCCCCCTCAGGATTGATTAGGCACACATAGCCAATTAATTTTTAACATATTTTCCTTCAAAATTAATCAGCACCCGTTACAAGGGGTCAATTAATTAGCCTACCCCCCCCTTGATTAATTAATTAACCAATTGGGCAGGGCCCTCAGGGGGGGGGCCTGCCTAAGGCAGGGGCTATATCAAAACATTACTTGTAACATTCATGTAATTAGTAATTATACTGTTGTTACTGTTACTGTTACTGTTACTTCGAGCTTGTAACTTGTAACTTGTAACGACTACCTACGTGCTTGTAAATTTGCTGTTAACTAACTACACAGCCGCAGCCACATTAACTTACAACTCAGTTCAACTCCATTCCATATCCATTCCATAATCCACAATTCCATGTGTTCCAGTTGGTCCTGTTGTGTTTTGCGAGGGAGTGTCCCACTGTCCCACTAGAAAGCATTGAACTGAGCTTTTGCCAGCGTTGGCATTGGTAGTCTTTATGAGTCGACTTCCTTGAGCTCGGACCTGAATGCCCAAGGTTGGATTCAGAGTGTGGCTAGCAATGAAGCTGGCACTTCGATCCTCGATGCAGGCTTGGCAAAGTTGGTCTCGTTCTTCTTGGAGGGGAGCGTCAAGGCTGATTCTGCCACCACTCAGGTTCCCCCAGAGATCATGATGGTGCAGAACTATCTCTTGCAGTTGAGCCCAGCTTTCTTCGATGTCGTGGCGCCTGCAGTGGAGACTGGGGCTGCAGTGGCATTCGCAGCAGTTCGTAACATGTTGAACAGGTTGAAGGAAGTGGCTGCAGCAAGGCTCCTGCAGGAAATGGCCAAATCTCCAAATGCAACATGGGAATTTGACCAGCTATCACTTCCGAAAGGTGTCAAAGAGCTTGGCCATGCCATCATGAAATGGCACACAGTTCATGACGAGCTGAAGGCTTTGGGAGACATGGAACATGATTGGACGTTCTTGATCTCCAAGCTCCCGTTCTTTGAGTCGCTTTCACTTGCACATGCCAGTGAGACGCTGCAGGACCCCATGTTTGACGAGCTTCAAGGGCCAATTGTGCGAACCTTCCTGGAGGCCACTGAGGACACATTGAAGAATCTTGGGGCAAGCATCATGGAGGACGTGGACCGCTTCATGACCAAGTACAAGCCAGTTTCTGACTGCGCAGAAACATGGCAAATGCAGCCCGTCCAGCACTTGTTTGACCCTGAGGAGCATGAGCACATCCAGGTAGAGGTGAACGACTTGGTGACTAGCCTGGACAATTTGAAGAAGATTTGTGACTCCATGAAGGGATTCGTCAACCATTCCTCGACCAACGAGAAGCTGAAGTCTGTGATTGGTGAGGCCAGCAAATTCATGAAGGCAGCATTGGCCAAGGTCAAGGCTGTCGGCAAGGTCGCGACAGTGATGTTGACCTCCGCTGTCATTCTACTTGCTGGTAAAGATCCTGCCCCTGACTCCATGGAGGAGACCCTGGATATGTGCCAGAAAGAGTTTGGCCTCTCCAAGGATGATCTACCTCCAAAGCTTCGCAAGCTCATCAATGACTGCATGGGAGGCGAGTCTAGCAGTCACAAGGCCAAGAAGCGGCCGGGCAAGGACAATAGTGAGAAGCCACCCAAGAAGGCACGAGCTGCAAAGGATGACAAGGAGAAGCCGGGGAAGAAGGCCAAGAAGACTTCAAAATGAGGTGGCATTTTCCATTTTGGGTCTGAGTCTGACAGGAAGACTGGACTTAGATGAGTGCTGTGGGATGATGGAAGTGCAACTGGGATAAAAGCAGTGCACACTCAGATGAACTATGATTCTATGATGAATGATAAAGCAAAACATAGCAAAAGGAAACAACACTAATATTGACACTGACGCTAAATAGTTTTTTGTTTAAGGACGCCGAGCTATAATTTATCTGCAGAGTTGAGTAGAGACAGTGTGACACTGTGTGACTGTAACTCGATGTCAATGACTAGTGACTAGTGCTGTGCATTGCTCCCCGGTTGCAAAACCAACGCAGTTTGCCAGTTGCTGCAAAAAGTTGTGTGTCAGAGTGGATGTGCCATTGGATTCGTGGATCAGTGATATCATTCTGTACATACAGGCGGGAGATACTCAATATGTGGCAGTATGTGACATGGCATAGTTACATAAGTTGTTACATGCCCCAGGTCCCCCCCAAGCTCCATTTACATAGACAGCGGGCATGCCAGTAAGCAGCCCACAGACAAAGAGGCCAGGCTTCGCTTTAATATATAATATGTATTTGATGGATTTTGATAGTTCGTGCTTCTTTATATAATTAGAGTTTCTATTTTGCGGGGACTCAGTGAGTGCAGGTACACTGTACATCCCAACCCTCCAATAGACGGTCCTTTTGGATTTCTTCGATCATGGTGCCGAGGAACCATATTCGGGCGCTTGAAGTGAGAGAACATCCGCTTTTTGGAGCTTTGTTTTGGTTTGGTTGGTTTTCTGGTGCGCCAAAAGCGTTTCAGTTCATTCCACCCTGAGCGGCTCGACGTCGACTTCACCTGTGAATGCCTCGCATCTTCGCGGCCATCCTCGCATGTCCGCCACCCTCAGCGGCAGGCTCCACCCGAGGAATTGGATTTGGAGCAGGCGACTGGGACTAGAGCAGGTACAGGATCTCTCAAGTTGGATAGGGGCGATAGTCCTTCACCAAGCACAGGGCGAGAATTGCTTATCCCACACGCTATAAAAAGAACATAACAGATCGTAGATGGTTTGTAGAGCTCACCCCAATGCTTGAAATGACCACTGAACCGCCCTTGCGTAAGCCTTTCGTGGAGGAGGATGAACCTTCGCATAGGCTTTTGGTCATTCTTACTTGCTGGTGTCCATGGCCCCTCCATGTACAGAAGATGTTTTGGATGTTGCTTTGAGGTGTGCGCCCTTTGTAGGCAAGCTTCAATCACACCTATTGCCGCTCCTTGACAGTGTGACAGCCAGTCCGAAAAGCGATATGCCCAAACTATGCAGGAAAATTATGAGGCACCTAGTGGCACCCACCATCACTCCATCACTGGTCTATGCGGGCCGGATGTGGCACAAACGATGCTTCTGGTGGTTCTTGAACTTTGACTTTGGCAACACACCCCCATTCAATTGTTTCAAGTGTTTCCTGCTATAGGCCTTCATCCCTTCACGTCACTGTTGCAGCTCCGCAACGCCCTTCTTTGGGCGCTTCCTACGTCAGGAGATTGCGCAGCTGGACACACCCCTCCGCCCGCGGGACGGCGTGCAGCAGGTCCGCCAGGCCGCCGAACGAGTGGCCAAGGGCCACGACGGCGCGGATCGCACAGCAGTTAGGACGGCGGAGAGTGTCGCTGTGAGGCATCGAAGAGGGGCGAAGAGGGGAACAGCCAATGGAAGGAGAAGCGATGATGGGCGTGATTAAGCCGATGATGATCCATTCTTTCGTTTACGCCTTCTTGACTTGGATGCAGAGGTTGAGCGAAGGGCTGATGGGGTCCTGATGGGGTTTCGCATGTATTGATCACCCGTGGGGTCCATGGGGACCACCTCTTGTCTTGCAGTCGCACATGTTTGTTGATGACGTGGGGTCCTCCCCAACTGGGAGCATCGCAACATGCCAGGTGTTTCTTCAGCTGGTTGGGTCTGTTGGGTACATGTGTGAGTTCCCTGGAAGGGAATGGTCAAACTGAGGCTACTTGAGACCACCAAAGCGGGTGTTCTCTTGCTCCCATTTGGCACCTGTTTGGGACTCTCAGGTCCTGTGGGCGCCGGGCGAAGCGATGGCCAAGTTGTGGGACACCATGAAGACCCTTGAGGGCTCGGCTGAAAATCGAGAGGTCAAGCTCGAGGAGCTGAGATTTGGCGTCCGCGTCCGTTGAAACAGAAGGAGGTGGCGGAAAACCGGATGTATGTATTTTTGTTTTGTGGCTAGAAGGGGGCATGAAGGGTGGTTGAATACGTAGAGGTTGGAAAGACTCCCCCTCAGTGATACATATATAATATACTGTGTCTATATAATTTCTTATAATATATAGTTTGTGGTTTCTTACAAATCCATGCCGTCTCCCCTTCAGCAGCACAGACTTTAGAAAATTTGACTCGATAGGTCAGGTTTCACAGGCCATCCATGTTTATAGATCCACTATAATACAATATATATATATACACATGTTTTATATGATAGTTTATTTATAGGTATACATAAGTTATCACATAGTTACATACACATAATTAATACATGTTCATTGACTCATTGACTATAGATCATTGTTTATAACTACTTAAAGGAATCAATGATTTGTTTATCTTTAATCCAGCCTTGGGGTCAACGTCGGTGCCGGCCTCATCCTCAAAGGCGGTTCTGGTATGGACCGATGTAAATATACCACCTAGACAAGGGAACAGATTGAAGAATGTCCAGCTTACCTCTTCCCCAAAGTACATCAAACCAGGGGATCAAGTTCAGTCAGTTTGAAGAGCCAAGATGGAAACCATACTTTTCAGATGACACCCCTAAACCAAGAAGAATGCTTTTATGTTTTGTTTAAGCTGTTATTTAAAAAAACAAATCTTAGCACCCTATGGAGCTTCAAGACTTTCGTGTGTGCTGACGGATGCTTTTGGGAAGAACTGAGCCACCAAGTGAAGAAGCCACGTGAACGTCGCTTCTTCTTGCGACGCGTCGTAGCTGGCGTTCGTAGCTACCGCCAGGAGCTGAAGTCGCAGCGGGATGCCGCCCAGGACGAACTCCGCGAGATCGTGGCTTGGCTTGGCTTCGTGGAGGAACATCGGTTGGAATCGCCATGCCGTCCACTTCATGTTGGGTCTTAATTAGCAAAACACACCCCCTAGCAAACAATCCAGGGGGTCTGAAGAGTTTCACCGCCACAAAAACGATTAGTAGTAGTAGTAGTAGTAGTAGTAGTCGTCGTAGTCGTAGTCGTAGTCGTGGTGGTGGTGGTAGTAGTGGTAGTGGTAGTGGTAGTGGCAGTGAAAGTGGTAGTAGTAGAAGTAGTAGTATAGTATAGTAGTAATGATAAAGTTAGCTTTTTCTTTAGGCCTCCAAGTTTGCTGATTAATCCAACCCGCTAAACAATTCATACTATTCAATTACCCTGGGCTTGTGTGCTACCCGCTTGAAAAGTTGTTTGCAGCAATGAAATCGATGAGTTTTAAAAGTTTTAAACATGGTTTTTGATAAAGGTTTCCAGGTCAGAGTTCTATGCATCTGGTGGTGGTGGTGGTGGTGGTGGTGGTGGTGGTGGCGGTCTAATTAAATCAATACAGAAAACACACCTCAAAAAAACACCCTGGGCGAAAATGGTTTTCTTATTCCGACCCATTAAACTAATCATTGTGTGTGAATAGTTTGGCATTTTTTTTATTATTCTGTCCCATTTGACTAATTTTGATCTAACATTAACCACGATTGATGGTTGGAAACAGGGTATATCTTGAACAATTCCTGCAATTGGAGGGGTGATTCACATGAAGTGAGGGTACGCATGCTGGTGATTGCCAAATCTGAGAAGTGTGAACTCGTGACAGGGGTCCAAACTGGACGCACCCAGTTTCCCTACTGGATCTTACGGGTGTATAGTGAGGGTTTGTTTCTTCCTTGTTCCAAGCATTCTTAACAATTTTATTCTTTCCAGAACGCCTAGAGAAGTGCTTTCCAGCTTGGAGCGGTATTGTGTTACGTACCTAATGCCTATATGTGCCAACGCACAAAAGTCGAGCATGCTTATACTGTCATTATACCCCATGTATGGAATAGTGTTCAAGAATAAACACGTGTAATTAATGTAGAATTGACGAATAAAACCTTCACCGTATGGATTGTAAATCTATGTAACTCGTCTTCCAGTCCCATGAATGGTCTGAGTACGGAAAGACGTTGGATGGGCCCTTTGCGCATTGGGAACGGCCATGGACGTGAGATCCATGGCCGTTGGACACGACCGATGGAGCTGGGCATATGTCATTGTGTTTGCGTTTCAGGAGTAGCCAGTCCCATGGAGTGTCAGGGAAATGGATAGCTAAGACAAGCCACTTGTGATACGTTCACACTATTTCACACTTGCTGTACTTGTTTGATGGCCATGGTGCACTATGTGCACTGTTGGGGTGGGAGGCCACACGACCACCTTCCAATCAGCTGGCCAAAAACTTTGTCCAGTAGAGAACTGAATCACTTCTGTTGCCGCTGAGGAGCGGCAAGACAAGCAGATCTCTCGCTCCTTACGCTGTGTTCGCGAGCCTCTCGGCGGGTGACGGTGTGGTCAGGGGATCCAATGGCTTTCGAGAAAGATGATGTGAAGATACGGCAAGACCGTTAAGAGTAGTCCTTTTCTTCCGTACCTGAAGCACCGGTAAGACTACTCAATGGGTTCCGATTCTTGCTCTTTTTTGGGGGCCTTATGGTGCTGCAGAGGTGGCTGTTCTGAAACACCATGTTACCATGTTTCTTGATCCTGAGTCGATTCCGCAGCTGTCACGACCTACAGTCGAGTTTCCGAGTCGGAAAAGAGCATGTCGTACACCAAGAGAGAAGAAAACAAGGTACACAGCTGGAAACAAAGCTGACGAACACTTGCACCGAAAGCGGCTGGATCCATGATCATGTGTACGTCCTTTTTCTATAATATATTTTTCTACTTTTGCTTGTTGAGGTCTTCACAGTAATCCGGCTCCGGCACTGATCATTGTTCCAGATGGCACCGGCTCCTTTCTGGTCAGGTTGGAGGAGATCGCATGGAGCCTCGGTGGCTTGTGACTTGGCAGAGAGGTTTGAATCCAAGGTGCATGTTATACCTCCAGGAACTAGAATACTGAACGTCCTGCGCAGCCAATTCTGAAACATATGGTCAGACAAGGGCAGGATGGATTGATGGTCAGATCAAGTATATATAATAAGAACTTTGGTTCTGAAACCCTTCAGAAGCCATGGGCTTTCGAAGTGACTACCAGCACTAGACTTGAGCTAAATGAGCAAGTACACAAGGCTTTGCAGGGCTTAGAGTAGTGAGTAAGCCCATCACAAATTGAAGGCTTCACACGTAGACATGACTTACTCACCCATTTTGTTGGAGTACGCTTGCATACTCGTTGGCCAAATGGAGGCTGGATGAGAAATCTGCCAAGTGTAAGCAGGCAGGCTGTGCGCGCCGTTGTGTGGTCCGGCATGTGTGACCTGGCCATTTGATGCCATTTCCTGTCCAATTCAGGTGATTGCCCTGTGTTGCATGGGGATTGAGCCACCATCAGACTTCAATCCATGGCGTCTTAGATTTACATTCCTTTGGTTTGGAAGGGGCATCCTGGGTGACCGGACTTCAGTTGCGCTTTTTCTGACGTTGAACAGCAGCTGCCCCGTGGGGCATGCTACTGTAGGCGGACCCAGACCTGTGAAGGTATGATATGGGTAGTCAATTGTGGTCAAGTTTCACTACACATCTTGGATTCACCTTAAACATGAATATAGGTTTGATTCACCATCCATATTCCAGGGTGTGGGATGGTTTGCAAAATGAATAGTAATATGATGGTTTCACCTTTGATGGTTTGAAGTTTGATTCATATGTGAGTTGACCATACCTGCCACGACATCCAGCCACACCAATCCAACTTGTGAAGTCGATCAGCGGCTGACCTAATGATGCCATGGGACACATGTAAAGAAACATGCACTGTTTGCTTGCCTGAAGTACGGTTGACTTTCTCGTACAGTAAGGCATTATGTTTTATTTGCTGGTTAGCATTTCATTTCAGTTGTGCTATGTTCTTTTCTCTCTCCATGTGTGTTTTCCAGCTGGTCTCCCGCCACAATGCCGCGGCTTCGACCAGGCTATCACCATGCTCTCCCAGATCGAGGCCGACTTCGTGAAGCGTCGGAGCCAGCGGCGGATGAGAGACCTCAACGAAGAACCTCGGATGGATTTGTGCGCCAAGCATTTGCAAAAGCCGCTGACTATATAATATACAGTGTATATATATACATATATATATATACATATATATATAGTGTATAGACATGTATAGACCCTGCTGTGTTTTCAATTCCCTATATTTGTGCTCCTGGTGCGACCAGAGTGTTCACAGTGGTGCCTTACCTGTCCTAACAGGGGACATGCGTGCGGCCAGGAAGACAAGGGTGGTAGAAAAGGTTGTACAATCCAAATGGAGGGTTAGGAATCAAGAGCCTACATTAGTGAGTCCTACCGCGCGCGAATTGAGCGTTGTTGGTGCCAGGTGGTGCACAACTTGTTCCATGCCAGGTGGTGGGGTGATGTTTCGATGTTGCTCCGTCAGTTGTCATCCAAACACACGGGCACACACAAAGTATATAGAGAGAGATGTCCAGACTAAAGCATGCCAACACCCATTTTTGGTGTTGAGCCATCCATGTGTGAGCCGAGCTAAGGCATTGAAAGAAGTTGGCGCATCTTTAGCACATCCACCAGAGGAGGTGTTGTGGGAGCTGATTTTCTAGCTTTATTGGCAGGTCAAGCAGCAAACCGGCCAGCGTCACAGTCCGTCCTCTCTGAAAATCAATTGATTCCCTGATCCAAAACAAGATATCCTTGTGACCCCAGATCCTCCGAAGCATTGTTGCCTGAAGGATGAAGACAAAGAGGAGGCTGCTTGGCATCTACATTGGAGAAGGCCCTGCATGCACCTGCTTCAGACCCCCAGTGTGTTGGGATGCATTTGATCTCCACACGGCTTTCTCAGCACGGAGCGTCCTAAGGAGCCCGACGAGTCTGAGCAACGTGCTCGCCGCGAGCAGGCACTGCTCGCACGCCGCGCGCGCCGACAGGAACGGCGGAAGAGGCAAGGCTCGGAAACTCGCTCCCAGGAAGGCTGGGAAACTTCTGACGCTTGGCCAGGCATTGCTGAGCAGTTCTGGTTTGGATGGTTGGTTTGATTTTGAGATCTTCCACCTGTATTCTCACGAGGGGTTCATGCCCTGTATCAAGTTGTTTCTCGGGTGAATGTGGATAAGGAGCCCATGGGAACCCCTTGTATATGACGATTCTGGAGCGCGGAACCAAGTATCGAAAGGTCTTGGCATGCTGAGTCATGATGTCCTTTCTGGGTGAGGGGATTTCATGGGGGGGTTAGTCATGGGCCATGGGTTTGGATTGAGGATGATTGAGGGACATATATATATATATATACACACATATTCAGCATGGGTGTTCCGGTTCGGCTCGGTGTACGGAAAAGTGTTGTTGAAACGGCAATGATTCTAAATCATAACGGTTATTGCTGAAACGATTATCATAGAATAACCCTTTCCATTTTCCCTACAGGAATTGTTGAAACGGCTAAAGGTTTTTTTTGGGGGAGATGTTTTGATATGCCAATTCCAAGGATGTCAGCGATGAAGACGGCCACTCGTCCGAGATGGTCCATCCGTGTTTTTCGTCCGATTGCATCACTTCGGCGTAGGGGCACATAAATGGATATGAAATATTGTTTATGAACTAATATGAATATCGAATATGATGCGCAGTCGAGCGAGAAAGATTCACACCCCCAGTCAAGTTCAAGTGTTTTAGTGATTTCTTAGGTTCTTCACGCCAGGTTTGGTGAATAGATCTTAAATATGTTTAAGCAAAGATCGACACATGAAAACAAAAGAACACATTCCTTGGAGGCTCAAGATTGGACAAACCCATGTGTTTTCTGACGGATTGTCTTCAAACGCATTTTTGAGCCGGTTTGTTGTCCTGTTCTGGCATGGCAGAAGAGACTAACACAACCTTCTTTTTTTCGAGCAATGCTACGTGGAAGGTGGCCATTTTCAGCAGCGGATATTCACTTTCCTCTTCCACGATGTCCAACTGGGAGGCCCTTGATTTGGGACGCAACCAATTACACTCCCTGAAATGTCCCCTGAGATTCTTGCATGAAAGCCGGTGCACAGCATGAGGG